AAGGGTTGGGGGCAATCACTTTTTAGATCATGGCTTGTAATCCCGGAGCCTTTCCCTTAACTTTTAGCTTACCTAAGGTAATTTATTAAGATAAAAAGTCTAGGATTGAGATCTGAGCAGTCATTTTTCCCCGGCTATGTTTTAGGGTGGTAATTGGTTGCTTGGTCGAGCAGCTGCCCTTGGCAAGGAAGGAAAGGTTTTCCACAGCATCTGTGGTTTTTACCTGTTCAGGTTACTACAATTAGCGTAGTTATTTGAAGGACTTCGGAGAGTACCGCTGCTCTTGTTTGAGTAGAATCCTGGTATCTTTCTATAATCGTCTTTGTGGCTCCTGTTGCTGCAGAGCCTCTGTGCTGTTGGTTTGACCCTGCCGGGTAACTGAATATTCTCATGTTCCGATTGTCGACAAAAAACCATCAAAGTGCTCCCCTTTTTTTCTAATAATAAGGTACGGCAATAAGTTTTTCAAAGCCCCAACAGGCATGCCCATGGTACCTGTGGAATCAACTGTATGCATTTGGGTGAAAGTTTGTGGGTTTGGTGTAGTGAAAGAGAACAAGTAGCTTCAGTTACTGAACAGGGCAAGTATACCTAGGAAATCGAGATTGGGATCCCATTGATCCAGCGGAAGCAACGGCTAGGGCATGGACAATAACAGATCCGGAGGTAGACCTTCTACTAAAGTGGAGTCACCACCATATACTGAAAAAGAAGGTAGCAGCTACAGAATCCAGTTGATAACAAGAAGTCTCACTTTACTGGCTGGGAGTTCTACTTTCTACAATCGAGCATAAGCCCTCTTCTACTTGCCTTTCTCCCGTAGTAGCTTCACGTCCTCCCTTTCCTTTTGTATGGTACTAAAACGGAAAAGTGGATGCCCCCATTACGCTGCTCGCCCTATTAGCCGGCGGAAACCATGAGAATTCATTCATTTCAGCCAGTCCCGGGTTATATATTGTACGGCGAAACTCGCTAATAGATATCTGTTTTCTCAGGAACCAGACCTGCATGCACGAAGAAGAACATATCTCTCTGGTCATATTCTTGTGGAACTTCTGTCGTCCCGTTCATTGTGGTTCCTCGGCCCTGCTAGCCATTTGCTTGCTCGAATTGTACACATTCAAAGAGGGGGCAAGCTAAACAAGCAAGCAAGCCATCCAAGTTTATTTTATAGAGTCGGAGAAAGAACTTGGGGTTCCCCTGTGACTAACTTAGAAAAGATCCGATAGATAGCAGCTACCTAACTTTTAAGCCCTTCACCAATCAAGGTCTTTCATCTAGTAAGTCCTAGTACTATGTTCTCCAAGCTTGACTAATAGAGTAGGCAGGCTCTCTAACTACTGGAATAGAAAAAGAGAAGGGATTCACGGGCAGTGAAGGCAACCAAGGGAGAGGAATCATTCCATTCAATTCCGAAGCCTAGCGTCTCCTGTAAGACTCTATCACCTTAATTCTTTTGTTGAGGTTCTGGAACTTCTTCCTCCGGCCCTCTATTTACATAGCGAAGAAAGGCAAAGGCTCTTGCTCGAATGCGTGACTTATGTCTCTTTTTCCATTTATAAAAAGTAAGATGAATCTACGCTCCTCGGCCTATAGTAAGTGAATGAGAGGGTATGGGGTTCCGGGTCTTTTTCCAGTCAAAATTGACTAATAGGCAATCCCCTTTTTCCGTGATAATGTGAAAGGACTCAATTCCTTCTTTCTTCCCCAGCGAAATGTAGCAGGAACAGCCTTCCCGCAGTCGCATTAAGGATATTTTTTCTTGAAACTCTTTACTCCTGTAGCAAGTATTCATTTCTATTTAGTTGTTTTCTTACTCTATCCGGATGGGATGTAAAAGAAGGCTTTATCGTCTAAAGGCAGGGGTGAGCTTTCTCACTATACCTCGCTCTTCTTTTATCCCGCCTGCTTTCTTATCCCTGTTCCGTAAATTTCGTACGTAGACAGTTAGTTGCTCTGACTAGTTTTTTAGTGCAAAAAAGGACCAACGACGATCCTATCCTAAAGGAGAAGAAGGAGTAGGAGCAGAGCGGAGAATCTTTTTTGATTCCAGCCGAGAAGACTAGTAAAAGGAAGGATCAAGAATGTTATATATTTCAGGAGCTAGATCAGTTGCCGATGAACAAGTCAGAATTGCCTCAACAAAAATAGATGGAATTGGGCCTAAAAAAGCCATTATGGTTCGTTATCGATTAGGTATCAGTGGGAACATAAAGATAAAAGAATTAACTAAGTATCAGATCGACCAAATTGAACAAATGATAGGTCAAGATCATGTTGTTCATTGGGAATTGAAGAGGGGAGAACGAGCAGACATCGAACGATTAATTTCTATTTCTTGTTATCGTGGAATTCGTCATCAAGATGGATCACCCTTACGCGGTCAACGAACTCATACTAATGCTAGGACTTGTCGCAAGCAAATTCGGAAATGAAAGAAGTCTACCGAAAGCCTTGGTACTTGTCTGATCAATCACACTGTTCAATAGTTCACTTCAATTTTGATTGGGGGATTTCACCGGTTACTAATCCAGTATCGGTATAGTAGGCCTCCTTGGCCACTCCACTAGTGGCTCGGCTTCGTCCTAGAAGCTACTGCTTCCGCCTCTCTAGGCTTCGCTATCGCTCATGACTGGTATATGGATCTCTCTATGTAGTGGTCGGCCTTCTAGAAGCTTCGCCAGAAGCGACTAGTCGCTTCCCGAATGCCCCTTTCCTTGCCGCCAAACCACTAGGAGAGTCAGCAAGCTAGCTTGCTCGCATTCTAGAAACGGTAGCTTCCGTGCCCTTCCTGCCTACTGAAATGGATGTGAATGATCGTGACAGCTCTTAAAATCCTATTCAGTCTGATTAGATATGTCACTGAAAGAAAGTGATTCTGTTCCCTCTCTTTTTTTTTTAGGATTCCGAGGATGGGCCGGCCCATCCTAACATTTGAAAGTAGCTCGGGCCGTCGTCACCACCAGAAGCCATATCTTTCGTCGCTTGCTGCCAAACAACCTATTGCTATTGACAAGAGTCGGTCAATGCCATTCAATGTCCAGCCAATAACCAATTGAGGAAGCAAGCCGAATCCTTATATACGAGAGAATAAATGGATCATAGCGGTGAAGGAGGACGACCGGAGAGAGGAGCTTACGAAAATAAGCTACTAAAAGCGACGAGGGCAGCATGTCTTTACTGGGGAAAGCTGCCAAATCATTCATATTATCGGAAGCTCTTGTCAAAGGATTTTACCTCTGTTGGACCTAAAGCTTTCAAATCGGAACCTGAAAGGTAAGGCGCGTTGGTTAAGTATCTCATTCCACAAAAGTTGCACAAATCTCTTAAGACATGAGAATAGGAAGGCGTATACCTTACGTACTTTTTATTAGCCGGTGTGTTGATGATCCTCGTGTTATAATTTCTATCTATTAGTTGATGATCGAGCTCTTTATGATTGAATGAAGTGAAAGATCAAACTCAAAGGGCTCTCCCTTTATCGTCATCGTCGCTATCATAGTTGCTATCATCGTCGCTAAAGCTCCTCAACTTTCCTCCTTCCTTTGCTAACGCTCCTCCCTTTGACCAAAAACACAAAAGACGGTGCATGAGGGAGAGAAAGATGTTGCTCTCATACCAGATGCTTTGAGCAAACTAGCCTATCTCTCAGCAGGATGGTGTGCCCAAACTGTCATTTCATTCGAGGCGGGATCGGAGTAAGGGGCGAAGTCTCGAGCATCGGTACTCGCAGCCTTTAGGTTTAGGTAATCGTCAGATTTCCAAAGCCGACAGGCCTTCACGCCCCGACCCTCAGATGCGGGGTTCACTGAGCAAAGGAGTCGGCAGATGTTACATTTTTTTAGACTCCACCTTCGCGAAACTACTAAAGAGAAGGCTAACAGTCTTTAGCGCAGCTTATTAGGGATTTCCCAACGGAAAGGCTTTGTCGAACCCTCTTACGTTAACCTACCTTCTTGCCAGCGAAATAAAATTTGAGGTCGCGCATTCAATGACTGCTCTAGAGCCGACTTATTCGGGCATTTCCAACGCTGTGAATAGAAAGAGATTTTTACCCTTCTCTCTCCCCATATCTGTCTGTTTCGACCAAGCGAATAAAGCCGGTGGCTGCTGCTCTACTATATAAGTACCGTGCGTGAGGAAAGGATCTCGCGTGGTAAAGCATCTCGACGCTCAATAGCCGTAGTTGACTATAGACCTTCACGAGTTACTTGTCATCACCCGGAAATCACAAATCTTTACCAAGTGCCAGAGATTGGTTTGGAACTTTCTTGAAGCATCAAGCCTGGCATCCCAAAGCCAGCGTAGTCCAGGCGAACTCAATAATCCGATTTTCAAAACTGTGCCCAGCCAGCCTATCCCAGATCGGGCACTTATCAACGATCGACGTGACATGAGTCAAAAGACAAGGCTTCTAGTTCCAAGCGCTTGCCCTCATGCCTGGTAAGGTCCTCCAAGGAAGAGGCACGAGCTAATCTTTTACTGGATGAAGGCCGGGGCGGTATAAAGGATAGGCTAGTCCAGCTAGATTCTCTCAAGCTAAAAGGGTAGTTTACCCGCATTGGCATTTGTAACAAAAAGAAAGACTTTGAAACCAGTTAAGACTTCAATGATTTATTTCTATATACAAAAAAGTAGGTGATAAATAAAAAGAAAGACTTACAGTATGAACTGTAAGAAAGGTTTAAACTATTGATTTATCCCGCCTAAAGAAAGAAATTATAACACGAGGAAGAAAGCCTATTGTAATTTCAATACCAAGATTGAATTCCCTAACTCTCCAACTTGAAATACACCACTTCGAATGAAATACCATTAATGGCTTCCCTGCCTTATCTCCCTGAAAGTCTCATTTTGCACAATTCCCGCATCAAAATGGCCCTATATTCGCATCGACTTGAGAATTCTCATAGTCCTTTACTTCACCAGGATTTGAATAGTCCTCTTAGCCAAGATTGAAAGGATGTCAATCTCCCACTCTCAGTCTGGTATTCGAGAAG